GCCTGTGTGAAGCTGTCCCTGAGCCTTAAACACTCTGTACCACTCAGGACTGGGACCTACTTTCCTCACTCATCTGGGACCTGCCTGAGTGTCTGCCTAGCACCCCCACCCCACCCAGATGAACAGCCTGACATGGGAGATAGTGTCCCAGTCATCTGAATCCCCCGTTCCCACGCAGGGCTAGGCATAGGGCAGACATACAAGATAGCGTTGGTGGCTGCTGCTCATCTAAACCATGGGCTTTCAGGACAGATAAGGCCTTAAACAAAACACTCACCTCTTGGCCTTGGCCTCCTCCCATGCCAAATGGATGAGGTATGAAGGATGCATGGGGTGACGCTTGGCCCTGAAGGATGGAGGGGCTGACAGGCACAGGGGCTGAGCCAGGCTCCCTGCTCCGCACTACCTCAGGCGAGCTGCCCAAGCTCTCCACACTTCACTGTCCCACCTCTGAAGTGGGAGTGATAATTCATGATAACCATGGTGTGACGGAGGCCCAGGCGAGCACACGGTAGGTCGACTGGCCCTGGCCTCATGCAGCCCTCATTGTACCTACCCCGTGTTACAGATGAGGGCTTGTGACCTGGGCTCCCTGTCCTCAAGAAGCTCCCATGTAGCTACCACAGGGAAAACACAAGCTGGTGCCACCTGACCCAGGACAAAATCCACAATTCCTCCACCATTGCAGCTTCCTAGCACCATAGCTACAAGGAAGAGGCATTTCTGTCTGGCCAGCAGGTGCCCAGCCATGCCCTTTCCCCTCTCTGCCACACTGGGGCCTGTCCCCAGCCTACACAGGTGCAAAAGGCTGCTCTCTGCAGCCCACCAGTGTACTTCCCCAGGAGACACACAGACGCACATACACTCCCACTCAGTGCTCTCTCCACTGAAGGGAGGACGCAGCCACAGCCATGGCTGTGGTGACACAGATCCTCTGGCTCATCCATTCAGCGCCAATTCATGGGGCCTCCCCTGTGCCAGGCTCACAGGCCACTAAAGCAAGTCGGGGGCCTCTGGGTGTCCCAGAGGAGACTGACCCAGCAGAGACTCGGGGAAAGCAGGAAAGCTGAGCTGAGTTTTTAAGGATGAGCAGGAGCTGGGTGAGAAGGGGCCTGGCGCCTAGGCCAGGACTCACACCCTCTGTCTGGGATTGTGTGGAAGCCTGGACAGCCAGTCTCTCTTACACTCAGCACACACTTAGCCACACACGTGTCACTTTGCAATGAACAGAAGGAGCCTTTGATAATGTGACACTGGAGGGATGCCCCTCCAGTGTGAGCACGGCAGAGGGAGGGCAGCCAGCAGTCCAGGAAGCCTTATCGGCTCCCTCCACCCCTATCAGAGCTTCCTCTCACCACGTCCTCAGCCTGAGGCCAGATGTGAGTGCGGCTGGAAGGCCTTAGAGGGGACATTTCAGGGCAGGGCAGGGAGGCAAAGGGGTAGTCCCATGGTTGGCTCAGAGCCTCCTTCCCCTGCCCCTCCCCACCCCTTTGTCATGGCCCAGTGCACGCACAGAAGGTGCTGGGGCAGCCACTTTCAGTGTGTGCAGGGAGCCCTGCCAGGCCTTCTAACAGCCCCAGTGAGTCACACCAGACCAGAGGGAAGAGAGGCCCCCCAGGCCAGTCTCATCTGAACGAGGTGTAGCTTACCACTTACTCCAAACACCAAGAACTGATCTCCTCCTCCCAATGTAAGGTCTTCCCCTCCCTGTGACAGACGGCAGGTGAGCCCAGACAAACCAGGACACAGCCTGAGTTCGTTCAGGAATGTACAAAAGCTGGTCCATGTGGGCTTCCCCAGCTGGCCCAGGCCTGGCAGTCCCCGGCCTCAGAGCCCCTGCATTTGTGGAGATGCAGCCCTAAGTCTGGACAGCATGGCCCAGGCAGGGATAAGCACTGTCCAGACCCAGGACCAGTGGGAAATGCCCAGCTAAGGCCCCACGGAAGGAAGGAACCACCTTCCCAGGCGGCTCTTGGCCTGGATTCAGGTCTAGCAGGAAGGTGGGGGCCCTTGCGCGAGCAGCTGCAGCCCTTATCTCCACTGTCTGTGGTGGCAGAGCCGGGCCCACCTCAGGCCTCAACTAGAGGGGCACACACAATCACTTACACTCAGCGCTCACACACACTCATACCCACGCACCAGGAAGGGGGGCCACGCCAGCCTCTCCCTCCACCCCACAAGGCAATCCCCTACCCAGCTGCTGAGACCCCCCAGAAAATGCATGGAGACTTCACCTTCCTCATCATCTCCTCTGCACCTGCCGGCTGCTGCCTCAGGAAAGGTGGGCACAGAGTGAGCCCCACCTCCCTTCTTCCTCCCAGCAGGGCCTGCGTCTGGGGACCACAGAAACAGGATGCAGTCTAGCCCCTGGAGACCCACACCCCACCCCCGCACTGGGGCTCCCAGGCAGGCGGATGCCACCAAACAGGCAGCAGAGGCCACTGTGAGACACCCAGCCAAGGTCCCTGGACCCAGTCCAAGGGACACACCTCAAAAGACGGAAGTGTAGACGGGCCCCC